TGGATAAAGCTCAATTTTACCTGTTAGAACGAGCAGTTCACGCTCATTACAGTCTATTGTCCTAACAGAGGATATCAGCGGTCAGAGATGATATATACGATACAAAACAACATAGACATGTCAAAACATCTCGTATTGGCAGGGAATTGGAATGCTACTTTAGATTCCAGTAGGGACAGGCTGTTAGGTGGAAGGTCAGGGGTAGGGGAAGGAGTGAGGTGGGACGAAGCCTTACCTATTTATAACCTTATGACAACTGGAGATCTGGTGGGCCCATTTAGACTTCAACAGCCGGAAGGGAAACAGTCCATGTATTACAAAAAAAATCGTAGTCAACATATCTCAGCATTAAGGATAGGCTACTTCCTCATATCACAAGACATAGTGGGAACAATACACTCGGTGGGAGTAGGAGACTTACCATACTGTTCGTACCTAGATCATAAACCTATATTTCTTAACTTCATTATGGACAAACATGTTCACATAGGAAGAAGTTTCTATAAGGTTAATAATTCGTTATTGAGAACTAAGGAGTTGAGAGAAGTTATTCTGCAAGTGTGCCTAACACACAATCCGGGCACAAAATCATTTGTGGACCTTATAGAAGCTTTGCCGGCAACAATGACAGCAGTAGCCAAACAATTGGTAGCAAGATGGGCGGCAAGGGAAATCGAACTGCAAGAGGCATTACGTATAGAAGAAAGGAATTTAATTAATAACCTAGGATTGGAGATGTACGAGAGAATAATAGAGGTAGCAAGAAATGAATTGGGTGACTGAGAGAGATGGAGGGCTAGGGGTCTGCAGATGAGGGCGGGAGTGAAAGAATGGGAGGCGCGAGAAAAAATGACAAAGTGCTTCTTTCAAAAGATTAAAGCAAGAGGAAGAAACAAGCTAATAGAACAGTTGGAAGGCCCGCAAGGACTGGTTTCGAATCCGGAAAGGATGCTTTCGGTGACATATGCACTTCAAGGGAAGGTGACCATACGTCTCATCAGCTAAAGGAAGTCATAAATAAGTTTCTATCATACTTACATCGTACTCAAGCGAAAAAATTGGACGCTTCTCTGTCTAAGGAGGAATTAAGGGAAGCCCTTCACTTTATGCCTCCTAACAAGACACCGAGTAAGGACGGATTGACTAAGGAATTTTGGGTGCAGTATTGGCCTATCTTAGGAGAAGAGTACGAATCTTTTCCCAATCAAGCCTGGCAGAGAGAGGGTTTGGGAACTTTGGGGATACAGTCAACGGTTGGCATCGTTACTCTGCAATATAAGAAGGGAGACCCTAGGGATATAAAAAATTACAGACCAATTACACTGTTGACCCTCACTCACAAGATAGTGGCTAAGGCACTGGCTAACCGCCTCACGAAGGTTACAGAAGGTTGTTTCCACCTAGATCAAAAAGGTTTCATTCCGGGAAGATTTATATTAGATAATGTCATGACTTTATCAGAATCAGTAAGGTACATTACGAATAAGAGGATAAACACAGTGATCCTCTTTTTCGACTTCGAAAAAGCGTCCGATCAAGTCAACTGAAACTTTCTACGGCAATGTATGGAGAAGATGGGAGTGAACCCTAATTTTCGTAAATGAATTCGTGTAATGTATAATGATGCACACGGACAGGTCCAAGTTAATGGACACCTGTCAGATAGGTATAAAATGACGAGGTCGGTCAGGCAAGGGGACCCTTTAGCGACTCTCATTTTTTTGTTTATAATGAAAGTAATTGCCTCGTTCCTCAGGAAAGACCCTTCAATAGACCGTTTGATTGTTGAACCGGATCAGCAGGGACGTGTCACACATTTGTCAACAACAATATTATTTGCGGATGATCTGACGGTACTAATCAGGGCAACAGACTCTTCATTTCAAGCCCTTACGAGAGCAATGACGACATTCCAGTTGGCATCGGAGATGAGAATCAATTGGTCGAAGACGCTGGGGTGGTGGCTATCATATGATGACCAACAACCACAGTATTAGCCACATATTATGGGGGGATGACTTGGTTACCGTCAGATTAGACAATGAGATACTTAGGGATCAGAATGGCGGACACGGGTCCCCATCACTCCATGGCACCTGAACACATGACAAAAATGTTATTCAAGATGGCGGCGTGGTCAAAAATAAATATCTCATTGTTCGGGAGGGCACTAGTCATAAATGCTTCAATCTTCTCTATGTTATGGTATGTTGGAACAATATGGTCACCACCTTCATATACACTACAAAAACTGAGGAAGGTGGCGACAACATATTTTTGGACAACAAATCCAACAAGATTCAACTTTATATCAAAGGTATCATGGAACCAAGTTATTCAACCAAAAAACAGGGGAGGGCTGGGAGTCTTGGATCCTGAACAACAGATAAGATCACTCAAAACTAAGTGGATCATTAAGTGTTAACACAACCTCACTTACGGTGGGTTTCATTGGTACTTGACCACATACGACAGATGGCCAGATATAAAACGCCTTCCAATATGAAGGGTACATTCTGACTATTCTGCAAGGGTTGGACCAAGAAAGATAGAACGGGGAACAATTAGCAGAGGATGATGCAACTAGAGGTACATACTCGGCTCAATTGCTCAAAATATGGGCAGAGGTCTTCCCGGCAAGAGTCGGATAACCTAAGACGAAGGATGAAGTGCTTAGACAGTCGTTACTTTGTAATCTATGGTTGAAAGACTCTCAATGAAGACCTAGAACACTAATTGCAAAGGACGCAAAGTGGGGGAAGTAGTTAGAGCATGGAGTATGGCAAGTCAAACATCTCTGGTCAGTTAGAAGGGGGAGATGGAAAACAGGTAGGGAACTAAGGGAGGAAATGAAGGGATGTCATAATTGAAAATCTGAATGACATTCTTTTCTCCATCCTGGATGAGTGGACAAGGACATTGAAGGAACCAGACAAATGGGGATGGGGGGATAGGGCAACAATAGTCACTACTAATGAGCCAGAGGCAGCCTTTCGCATAAGACAAGAGGTCGGACCTTCTAAACAGTGGTTGGAAGCAGATATGTTCACAATACTATCTCCAGTAGTCACGGTCAGTATGCTGGATAAGGATTCCAGGGTTCCGATCGCCATTAAGAAAACCATCTTAAGAAAGGTCGGAGTGGTTGAGAAGTAAGATTTTACGATATTTGAGCCATTGACATCTATTCGGGAGCTGGAAATTGATCCAGCAGAGTGGGCATGGAACATCAGGGGAAGCTCGTCCAAAGTAAGGAGGAGAATCAATATACTTCATTACACCACTAAATTGGGCTACCGTCTGAGGGTGAGATCATGCCATCTGGATCAGACTTTGTCGATAAAATGAGAAAAGAGATTGGATATACCAAGGGAACAAGTAGAAAGGTTACCATGGTCATCTTTGCATAGTATCAGATTGGCTAAGGTCAGGAGCATGCAGTGGCTCATCTATCATGTAGCACTCGCAGTCAATGTCTGACTGTTCGATAAGCGAAGCAAGATCAATAGGAATGAGTTAGATCAAGACTGTGTTATGTGTATGACGGGCGTTCAGGAAACTCTGATCCATTGTTTGCTCCATTGCCCGGAAGCAGATCATCTCTGGACTATAGCTCGTTCATTGTAGACACATCCTACGGACGTTCTCTTCCCCCCCAACAGAAAATTAATATTGTTAGGAAGCGAGGTGCCTAAGGAATGGCGAGCTGGCCATAAATTCATCTTTCGCCTACTGAGACAGTACACTTTATGGACAATATGAAAACGAAGATGTCAGAAGGTGGTGGGCAAGATAATGATGACTAGAGTAGAAGCCAAGGCAACTCTCTATAGCCTGTTGGAGACAGAGATTAGGGCGTTATGGATTAGGACAAAGAAGCAAGTGACTCTTAACCCAGAAAAGGCAAAGGATATTCTAACCAAATTTCAAAAAAGGGTACTAGCCCAAGGCAAAGTCACGACCGTAGAAGGAGAGAGGCTTATCTTCTATTGGTTTAAAGATGAGCGACAGGAGGACACTGCGGATGATCATCTGTTGGCACAGGAACTTAGGATGCCATAAGAATTAAAGTGAGGCAAGGCAAGGAAAGATACGTGAAGGGAATTGTAGGGTTCAAGGAAATATGATAGAGATAGTAAGATACGAACTTGGTTTATATGTTTTGGCAAATGGAGATAGTACAGGTTAACTTAGGCAGGGGTGAGGAGTGGTAAAACCTTCTTCACGAAAGTATTCAACGTCATCCACTCGGGCCTCCCAGCCATAATGGGGGGAAGCGTGCGTGTGTTTCCTATGTATCTACTATTGACTTGCCGGGGGAAAGGAACCAGACTGTTGATCCCTAGAATGGTAGGAGCCAGAACCAGGAGGTTCTGTTTAAAAAATAAAATAAAAAAAGATTGCTTCGTCGGAGTTGCACCGACTTATCAGGAGGCTGTACCCTCAACAATCTACAGAATCTCCGTATTTGATGATTTGGGTCGTGAACCCTTTGACCCATGTTGAAGGTAGATTGTCCCCAAGTGGAACATAGCAGTGGGCAGCAACCCTGCGGAGCACCAGGCAACGTAGTAGAGGCAACATGGCTGCACAACGCCAATAACGACTGCAGGGAACGACACAGCAAGCAAATGACGGATGAACAACCTAGCAACCTTGTAGTGAAGCACAAGGCAACCACACTGCAAGGGACGACACGGCGAGCGGACCAGCAGCTCAGCAACCGTGCAACGAAGCACAAAGCAACAACAACAAGGCAACCAAACTACAAGGCGTGCAAACAACAATCACGGAAGGCACGGCCAGCGGATGAGCGGAAAGGCGGCGGAGCAACGAAACGCAAGGAAACACCAACAACACGGCCACAGCGCGCAGCGAACACATCAATTTGCAGAGAGCCATACGTGAAGCCAGCGGGACAGGCAGCAAGGCAGCAGTGGAGCGCAGACTAGGCAGTCCACACATCCAACACGGAGCAAAGCGGCACATGACCTACTCACATTACGATTGAACGTTGCAGACTGTTGGTTCCCACCACCCACTGAGCCAGGGAGACACTCCGAGGAGCATCTGCCATCACCCACAGGCAACACAGACAACCCGAACCGCGTGGCCCCCCTAAGAGTGCAGTAGGCACTCTAAACGAGGAACCACCGACTGTTTGGAACTACTTAAGGGTGCTCAGTTGGGCACACAAAAAAATACCTTGAAAAAATCAAACGGAAGACAGACAACAGGAGAAAGACTGACAGATAAAACTGATTGTGTGTGTGTGTGTGTGTGTGTGTGTGTGTGTGTTGTCATATTCGCCATACACTCAGAAATAGGCCTTTCGGCTAAGATCAAGTGTAGTATCTGTTCTAATCAGTTTAATATCTGATCCGTGGTCCATCAGACCACATAAAAAAAAGCACGACTGTTCCAGACTGTTTCGTCGGACTTTCACCGACTCATCAGGAGGTTGAACCCCGACAATCTCCCCACGATGCATTTGATTGAGGGATAAGGA